GGCAGGATGACCACCAGGAGGATGGCATCAGCTGTGATGGCTGTTTAATTTTTATTTGAATATTTTTAAATAGTCAAACAGTTTTACAAGACGTGATAAAAACAGCCCTTCCTGCCCCCATCCTCACAGCCCCTGAGCTCCACGTCCTACAGTCAAACTGTTTCCAGTCTTTTAGTTATTTCTTCAGGCCATTTGCCTCCATATTTTGAAACAGTGTGCTTATACTGCTGTTTCCTGATTTTATAAAAGTTTAAACTGATCTATTGACTTTCTGTTATGGGAGATGATGAGTTAGAATTCTTACCCCCCTCCCTTCCCCTAATTCTTCTGGATAATTATATTATAGATGTTGGTTAAATTGACATCCCTATGATTATGTAAACACTGGTCACTGATGAATGAGGGAGTATAATATGATCCCATTGCCTTTCTTGAACAACTTAGTTTTTTTCTTGAGCTAGTAATTACGTTTTCTTCCAATTTTCTTAAGTTTCTGTNGGGACGTCAGGCAGGGGCACATCGTGCACAGAGGCACAGACAAACGACAGCATGTCAGTGGGAGGTAGGCAGTGAGGCTGGGAAGTGGGCAGGGTTAGGTCACAGGAAGCTTCGTAAGCCACCCAGAAACTTTCAGACTTATTTAGGGATTGTAATCGGGGGAGTTATATGGTCAGTTTTGCAGTTTCGGGAAATTACTTGGTGGCAATGTGGAGGATGGATTAGAGATGGTGATATTAGAGGCAGGGAATTAGACTACGAAGTCCTTTCACCCACTCATTCTCCTTTTTGGGCACACCACACACATATTACCACACATTGCTGACATCCTCAACTAGGGAGAAAATTTCAGCAGCAGATGCCTATCATGTCAGGTTAGTTCATTTTAATAAAATCAAGAAACAGTAGGAGGGAAATTTCTAAATGTTATATATAAATATTTACTTTTCCATCAGACTCTGAGTTTCTTGAAACAAGAGTATTCATCTCTGTATATTCCAGCATCTAGCACAGAGGAGATCCTCAATAGATGTTAGTTTGAATGGAGGAAAGAATGAATAAGTATTCAAACTGCAAGTATATTCGACAGGAACGTATTTTGCCTTACCATTGGATCATAGTCCTTTAGGAAATCCCAATTTTGAATCCTGGAAAGGAAAAACACATTGGCAGTGTGAGTTCTCTCTGGGACGTTTTTATGAATGAATTTCACTGTGTCAAGTCAAAGCAACTATGTATCACATGGAAGAACTCAAGAATTTTTTTTAAGTGAAACAAATGCCAAATGTCAACTGGGTATTTATGTTGTAACCTATAAAATGAACAAACATTTCAATGACCAATGACTTTTCCTAGAGTGGTAACTTTGACACTAGAAGATGTCTCAGACTGCCTAAAAAAACCATGGCTACAATCTTACCACGTGCCTCTACGCATTTCCAGAAGGCCACAGTAGGAGTCCTCAAATATTCTGTAAATAAATAGTTTTCCTGTCCCCAAACCTTTGTCACCTCTCAGTGTGTGTTGCAGAGAAAGGTGGGGGAGGGATGGGAAGAAGGCAGGATGACCACCAGGAGGATGGCATCAGCTGTGATGGCTGTTTAATTTTTATTTGAATTTTTTTTTTCCTT